CAGTGTGTGTGTGTGTGTGTGTGTGTTCGCAAGATGGCGTCTTCTCTGTTTTCAAATTCTTGCTGCTCTTTGCTCAGGTCCTGAGGAGTCCCACTGTCAACCTATATGCTTGGTAAAAGTTGTTTTTCGTCAGAAATGTAATAAAAGTGTAATAAAAATTTGGGGTGATTTCGGAGCCATTTTTTGGAAAAAAACCATGGGCTATAGCCTTGGGTATTTTTCAGAATTTTGACATTTTCTTAAAATGGCCGTAACTTGAAAAATTGAAGTCGGAGTCAGCTCAAACTTGCTACACAGCATAAGTACAGTACATCAATATTTATCAGAAAATGTAATAAAAATTTGGGGTGATTCCGGAGCCATTTTTTGGAAAAAACCATGGGCTATAGCCTTGGGTACTTGCCTACTTGGGTAGTTGGAATCAGCTCAGAACTACATGTACATGTACATTGTGTCATTAGTTCCAATGGTTATATACATGTACATGTATGTTCATGTATTTAACCAGCTCATCTTGAAGCCTCTTGATCTATATATAGATCAAGAGGCTTCAAGATGAGCTGGTTAAATGTGACAGACAGTTGAAAGTGAAGACCAGTGACCTTGAGACCCAACTACTGAGACTAAGAACTGAAGTACATCATGAGATTATGTACAATATACACTTACCATCTCTCCCCCTACCTCCTCCTCCTCCTCCTCCTTCATTAGTTAAATCGTTTAAATAAATCATACGAGAAACTAAAAGCCACCAAAACAAAGACACAAGTTTGTGTAATTATTATCATTATTTATTTATTTATTTATTTATTTACATCAATACTCATGTACAGATAATGGATGAAAGAACACAAACTATACAAGTAACTGAAATACATTATACATGTACTGTACATGTATTTATTACAAGTGTATGTGTATTGTTAGTGTTTAGAGGAGAAGGTACTCTCTTATGAAGAAGAGATTGAGTCATTAACTAATGACAACATGAAACTAACAAGGACTGTCACTGCATTACAGGTACTGTACACTGTACTTTAATTAATTGATTGATTAATTAATTAACAGGAGCAGTTGGATGTGAGATATGATGATTGTTATGATGATACTGAAAAACAAAAGAAAATTAAAAAGTAAATAATAATAATAAATAATAAATATTAAATTATTAATTTCAGGTTAAAGAAGGAGCGTGATATAGCTCGTGAACAGACTAGGAACAGTCTAAAGGAGATTGACAAGTGGTACAATAAATCAAATGAACTGATGGGAATCAACAGGGTAAGGGTATGGAGTGTACAGTGTACAGTGTACATGCATATGTAGACTGTATTACATATGTATATTAAATTAATGACTGATGTACATGTACATGTACATTAACACTTTAACAGTATACATGTATGTACTTGTACATGTATAGTAACATGTACATGTACAGTATAATTACCGATTTATATGTACTTGTATATTGTATGTCTCATTAGGAGTTAGAGCTGAGAGTGTCTGCAATGAATAAAGAAACGAGAGAAGACGATATCATCACTAACTTGAGAGGAATAATA